AATATTTTTCATTTTTAAAAAAATAAAATTTTTCATGTTTAAATTTTCTTTTACTCCTTTCTAGGTCAAAGTATTCTAATCTCTTTAGCTGAGGCAGAAACTAGAATCATAAGCATTCTCTTTTTAAATTATTAAAAATATTATAACTTACATAACAACAAGGAAACATGTAAGGAATATTTACTGATGCAAAAATCTCATATAATGAGCAACAACAACAAAAGAATTTCTTTTGTCTTCTTCCTTAGAAAACAAGCCTTTAGAATTAGATTTCTGTTCTTTGCTCTGAGAATTTCATTGACATGGAAACAGTAGAGGAATATTAAATAATAGTGGATGTTAACGTCTCACTGGAAATAACTGTCATGTTCCTTTCCTGCTCTTCAGATGAATCCAAGGCAGTGGAGCCATATCTCTGAAAGTGCCAAAGACCTAGTGCGTCGCATGCTGATGCTGGATCCAGCCGAAAGGATCACTGTTTATGAAGCACTGAATCACCCCTGGCTTAAGGTACATGTGCTCATAGGTGGCCTACACTGTGTTTGAACACTTCCAGTGACAGCAGTGTCCTGCTCTCTAAGGTGGCCCTTTCCACCTTATCATTTTTTGAGCACTATTTATTAGTTTTGTTCATCTGGTTTGCTGTTTCTGTGCATCCTCTGTAAATCGAGGGTGTACCACTCAAGTGACATTCAGGCAACAGACAGAGGGTACAGAAGTGGACTGAGACACAATCTATCCAGTAAGAAGGCCTGTTTCTCTCCCAACACATGTTCCAAAGACATGCAACATGAGTAACTGAAATAGTACTGCTATGATAAATTAATTATCTTTATTTTGCCTGTGACTGTGCTTTATAGCATTATTTTTATTTCAATAGATACTAAATATGGATTTGTCTTAGGGAAAAGGCAGATTTTAAAAATTCTTTTTATCTTCCATCTTGCCAATAAATATTAAGGAAAATTACAACTCGGGACTTCAATGAAACAGTAGTATTTGATGAAGACATTACACAATTCTATAATTTCAAGAAATTCTCCCTTTACAGGTGAGAACACTAAGGCTCAGAGAGGTTACGAATCTTGCCCCAAGTCACAGAAGTTGTCAGTGGTGGAACCAGCGTTTTAATTCAACCTACCACAACCCTTTCCTTTCACACAAGACCCCGTCCCTTTTACTTATTTAAGGACATTGCTCCAGCAGTTTCCCCTTCCTGCACGATCAGTTTTCTATCTCTGTTGGGTCTAACATGCTACGATTTATTTTTATTATACACACATCTTCTCTTGACCCTATAACCCACTCCAGCTTCTATCCTTAGTCTCTACTCCCCTTGAGAGCAATAGTCCTAGAAAGAGTTGTCTGTACTCACTTTCTCCAGTTTCTCCCATCCCTTCTTGAACGCACTCTAGTGGGTTACAGTCCTACCAGCTCCACTAAAACAGTTCTTGTCAAGCCACGAATGACCTTCACACTGCTCAAGTTCAATGGTCAAATCTCAGGCCTTCTCCCACAGTAGACATCCATCCTCCTCAAACACTGGCTTCTCTTGGCTTCACGACACTTCACTCTCTTGAATTCCCTTCTGCCTCTGTGGCTGCTCCTTCTCACATCGCGCTGACTCTTCCTCATCTCCCCCCCACCCACCTCTTCACATTGCAGTGCACAGGCCTCCATCCCTGCTCCTCTTTTTCTCTATCTACACTCAGGCCCTTGGAGACCTCATCTAGTTTTAATGGCTCTACATGTTGTCTGTACCCCAGGGACTCCTGAATTGATACCTTCAGTCCAGGCCTCTCCCCTGATGTAGTATTTCTTAATCTAATATATAGCGTCACTCCCTGGTACCCCTCTGATTTCGCCCCTTACTGTTTGTTCTCTCACCCACTTCCCCTCATACTGGCCTCCACGCCTCTGTGTCAGTCGTGCCCTTTCCCTAGAGCACTCTTTCCCCAGGTATCTTCAGGGCTTATTTCCTCACCGTCTTCAGGTCTTTGTTTGGATATCAGCTTCTTAGTAAGATCTTTCCTGAGCACCAAATTTAAGACTTGGGAAGAGGAATGCCCCTGCCACCAGTATTCCCTATTCCCCTTCCTTGCCTTAGTTTTCCCCATAGCATAAGGCACGTTACCATAAGGCATACTTATATTTTACTTGTTTGCTGTTGGTTGATCCCCATAAAATATAAGCTGCATAAGGGTGGGAATTTTTGGCTATTGGTTCGCTTTTGTCTAGCACCCTAGAAAGGGTTAAGCATGTAGTAGTTGCTCAATAAACATTAGTTAATGATTTAATGTATGAACAAATGGATGTTCATTATGTCATGCTGCTTGTCCAGAGATTATGCAAAACAAAATATATTAAAACCTAGATTAATGTATCTTAGTGGCAATGACATGAATAATAATATCACAGAATAATTTCAAGATTCCAATGGATATTGATTCTCCTTAAGAATATTACTTCTCAAATCTGTGTTCAATACTCTGATACTCAGTTCTAGTTATTCATGACTTGAAATATCCAGTTCTAGTTCTTCCTGCTTCCCACAGAAAAGAGAAGGTAAACAGTTCTTAGATAATTGCTTAGTACAGGCACACCTTGTTTTATGGCGCTTTGCTTTATTGCACTTCATAGACGATGCATTTTTGATAAATTGAAGGTAAGACTCTCCAGCAAAAAGATTCTTTCTTACTTGCTAAAAGCTCAGGTGATGATTCCATTTTTAGCAATAATGTATTTTTAAATTAAGGTATGCACATTGGTTTTTTTTTACATAATTCTATTATACGCTTCATAGACAACAGTACAGTGTAAACATAACTTTTATATGCTCTGGGAAACCAAAAAATTCATGAGACTCACTTTATTGCGATGGTCTGGAACCAAACCCCGCAATATCTCCAGGGTACGCCTGTATTTTTTTTCTCCCAGAAATGAAGAGTGTAGGGGGCACTCCTATTTCTCCTTTGCCTTTCTCAGTTTCTCCATAATGGGGTCTTTTGTTCATTAGAAGCTAGTTTGAATGTCAAATAACAATGACATATTTGGGTAATAACATTTATTTTTCAAAACCCTTATCCCTGCGATGATTATAGTTCTCGTTCTAAATAATGTGAGCTTAATACATAATAAAGATCTCTGGCACCAGAAAAACAAAAATGTTAATCAGTTAAATGGAAAATGTCGCAAGGCTGTTTGCCCTCAGAGTTGTGTGCCATGTATAAACTAGTTTACCTTCACTGTGTATGTGTCCTCTAAAGGTAGAAGAATTCAGTGAGAATGTTATCTAGTTGATGAGAACAGGCTCATTACGTTTAAGTACTTGTTTATGTTTACTTTTAAATCATTGCTGTGGATATAGTGGTGTTAATTTAGTAATGACTAAAAATTAAGCTATGGTTTAAATACGGAAAGCTCCTGAGTAACTAAAGCGGAGAAATAAGATGATGAAAACCCTTCTAATAAAGAATGCCCCAAAAACACACAAACAAGAATTATTTCTTTGGTTAAAAAAAAAAAAGATGTCCTGTTCAGTCATTACATATCAAAAAACCAATTTGAGTGAACAGACCAAGTAATATGTGAATGTCTTATGATTGTTAAATCATACTGTTTAACACTGTTACGTGTCTAAATTAGTGGTGCTTGCTGTGAATATTCACTGCAACAGAAGTAAGACCAACTAAAATTACGTTTTCCTCTTAGGTGATTGAGCTCTTTTCACACCCTTTGTAGTCGTAATGTGTACACCCTAAAGTATATTACTGTGCTGAAACATGAAAGGGGTGTGTCTCTCAGGCTAATCAATTTGAATTTTGTAAAACTCAATCAACATGCCAATTAAATGTGTATTCAGCATCCAGTGTGCACAAGGGATGGTGAGTCAAGTGCAAGGCACATTCTGTACAAACTTCCCTGAATTCATATGACATTACTATTAGTTTCAGGTAGGATTAGTTCATCTAGAAAATATTGTTTTTATTCTTTTGTCTCATTTATAATGTCTGGGGTTCTGTTACTGCTTACTTGTTTTCTGGTAAGTGATAAAAACATTTAATAAAAAGCATTTTTTAAATTTTTTTATTAAATCTATTGGGGTGACATTGGTTAATAGGATCATATGGGTTTCTGTGTTATAAGATATGTATATTGCACTGTGTGCCCACCACCCACAGTCAAATCATCTTCTGTCACCATATATTAGGCCCCCTTCACTCCCCACCC